TCCAGAGCCCGAGACAGCCTGTGGGTCGGGGTGGATGTGGCCGAACACACGCGTGCGTGTGTGTATGTTGATGTGTGTGTGGTTGATGTTTTGTATGTATGTGTGGAGGAGACGTGGAATTTGGGGTGAAGTGCTTTTTGTGATGTATTGGTGCACACCACTCACACCACTACCACCATCATTCCACCCACATCCGCATCCGCATCCACGCTAGTTACAACGCTATCAAGACCGCCGTACCTGCCGTACAAATCCTCTCCGACTGCGGTGGGCAGGCAGCTGTCGTAGATGGCCCGACCCATCTGCGTGGGCTGCCATAAGGCACCCGAGCCACCGTCAGCGCCGCTAGCGCCTCCAGGCGGCGAAGCCTTGGTGCCCGGCAAGCCCTTGGAAACTTTTGTCGCCGCCGCCGCCGCCGTAGCGGCTGCCGCCGCCCCCCCCCCCGGCTGCGGTGGCGTTGTTTTCGGAGATGGCGGTCGAAAGGTCACCAGGCGGCGCTGTCGCAGTGCGGACAGGGCGCTGTGGGTGGCAGCTGCGATCTCCGCATAGCCAGCTTGCTGGTAGAGCAGCGTGCTCCTACAGCGCACATCATAGGTGTGTGTGATGTGTGGTGGATGCGCGTTGACTGCGTTGCGTTGCGTTGCGTGCAAACGCCTGGCGAATGCAGCTTATTAGCTTGTTTACTGTGTGGAACATGCTCTCGCGTTTTAGCAAAAGACAAAGATAAACGGAACTGCAGGAAACAAGGGAGCGACCTGTCTTTTTTTTCTCAAATTTGGATGGCAACGCCAAAGGAGAGCGGCAACAACCAACCCTTTCACGGAACTAAAAAGCGAGCGAAAGAGAGCACACACACACACACACACACACACACACACACACACACACACACACGCAGCCCCTCCTCTGGTACCCTGCTGCCGCATTTTACTCAAAGCTGCCGTACAAAGTCACTGCTTTCCCTGATCCCTTGCGACCTTGGTCTATCCGCAAATTTGTCCTGTAAGCACAATCCTCGTCCGCAAAAAACAACTCCAGCCCTATCGGATTCACATAACGGAGGCTCACAATAAACATACACAGTTCTTTTTAAAACACACAGTCACACACAGTCACATACAGTCACACACAGTCTCACGCACACACACAATCTCACACAGTCTCACGCACCTGATGAGCGCCTCCACTGTGGCCCCCGTCGAGACGGAGCCGTTGGCGATAGCCTGCGGAGGAAGGCGGCCAGCCTTTACAGCCTTTACCCCCCTCCCCGCATTCGTGAAAGCGCGATCGAGCCCAAGTGTTCCGGTGGGGCAGGCGCCCTTCCGCTCTCCCGCCCTTCCCCGATCGACACCAGCACCGGCACGCAGCTGCACCAGGTTCGTCCTAGGTTCGTCGCGCAACCGCTGCAACCCCACCACTTTTTCTCCCCCTAAACTAAAAATACACATTAGCGACACAGCATTACAGTCGCATTACCTCAAGGAGCATCCGCTGCAAGTGCGACTCGCCGCGACCGTCTGCGGTAACGACCCCAGCAGCAGCAGCAGCAGCCACCTTGCTCTGCGCACCGGCCGACCCTGCAACAGTACCACCAACTTCACCAGCGCCGCATGCGGTCGCGGCCGCCCGGTCGCCCGGCCCGGTTGATCCGACAGAAGGCGCTAGGCTAGAGGGTTTAGCTGGGCCACCTCCCGAAGCGCCCCCTGGTGCTGTGACTTGGGGCGGTGGTGGTGGTGGTGGTGGTGGTGGTGCTGCTGCCGCTGATACGTCAACCGCGCGTTTAGCTGCGCCGCCGGCCGCTGGCGCCGCTGATGGCCCTGCCGGCACGTCCAGGAGGCAGCAGCGCAGCGGCGGCAGGCGGGCGGTAAGGAGGCGACACACGTCGCGCCACTCGCCTTGCAGCGTGAATGGGGCACCCTTGCCGATCAGGAACGCCTCGCCAATGGGGCTCTGACCTGCGGATCCAGCAGTTGGTTGTCGGCGGTTGGGGAGTCAGGGTAGAAAATGGTAATAATAATACTAATAATAATTTTATAATAATAACAATAATAATACTTTATAATAATAACAATAACAATAATAATAATAATAATAATAATAATAATAATGGCCGTACGATCCCTCCATGCCTCCCGTCCATGTCGAATTTGGACCGAAACGCGCTTGGCCGCGGGATCCTATTCCGCCCGTCCAAGCGAAAGCCACAGGCGAGCTGTGTCCCGCCGAGTTCCGTCCTCACCTGCACGACCGGCGCGTCCAATCATCTGAAGGTATTGGGCACGGCTGACAGGGCCGATGCCCTGCCACAGCGACCTGCGCCATGCAAAATAGCAGCACAAAATAACAGCACAAAATTACAGCACAGCCGCGAGAAATGGCTCATAGAAAACGTACTCATAGACGCACGTGCGCGGATGCGAACAAAGAGAGGGATGGATAGAGAACTTTGGTTTCTGGCCAAGTGGACGCGGATGAGCGCCCAGGTGTCCTGTCCACAGCCAAGCGCCAAGGTCGGTGAAGGCCGGTGACTCGCAACGATACCGTTGACGGAGACGCCCAGGCCAGGTCTGCCAACTTTGCAACCCTTCCTTTCCCCCCCCACCCCACCCCGCCGCCCCCCTGGACCTTGGTCCCATCTGAGCGCCCGGGTGCGATGCTTTCTTCACTTCTTGCTTTCTTGACTCGTTCCCAGGGCATTATCACACAGTACGACATGAGTACGACACCCACACCACCCGGCCTACCCTAAGCCCTCCCCTTTCCGTCCCTCAGTCCGACCCGCCCAGTCCAACCGCGCGCCTCACCCCCGTTCACCTCCCCCCCTCCTGGAAGCTGAATCTGATTTATCTTAGTCAAGATACGCGGCGCGGCGGCGTCCCTTTTCTTAACTTCACTTCGCAATCAACCCGTTCTCGGGTAGCGCCTGGGTTCGCCCGACCTGCGTTTTCCTATCATCCTATCACCTCCCGAGACATTCTTCTTTTGACGTGCCTCAGTATGACTCGGCGCGCCGGCAGGTTGATGCCTGCCGCCAGGGTGGATGTGGCGGTGAGGGTGTGGATGAGGCCGCCGCGGAAGCCCCTCTCCACGGTCGCCCGCTCCTGGGTGGTGAGACCCGCGTGGTGGTACGCCACACCCGCCTCTGAAACGGGGCCAGAGGGGTCAGTATGTCGGGACACACGATGCAGCGGCCGCTTAACCCATTTCACCACCAGCAGTAGCAGCAGCGGCGGCAGCAGCAGCAGTGCAGCAGCAAGGAAGAACAACAATAACAATTACAGGCAACACCAGTAGCAACAAAAAGAGTAAATCTGATGGCTATTAGGCACTAGGATAGGAACGCCTTCTTTCATAAGCTTGCTCAGGATAGGCGCCAATGGTTGCTCATTAGGTCACGCTGGGCTGCACGCGCGCACGTGTGTGTGTCTGTCTGTGTGTCTGTGTGTTTTAAAGGTAGGCGAGGATTAAGGGCGCCCCAAGGGAGGAGGTACCTGACTCACCAATGAGCCTCTGCAATTCGGCACTCAGGTAGCCGCCACTCGCGTCCTGTAGCTCTGCCAACAGCTCACGACGCGCGTGTAACGTGTCGGGGCTCACTGGCGGCAGTAGCTTGGGCAACAGGTCCGCCAGCATACCTGCCGGTATGTATGTATGTATGCATGCATGCACGGATAGCGGGTAGTGTGATGATGGTGATTTTCTTATGGATGGAGGGAGACGGCTCGATAACCATCGCCACAAGTCATCGTGACAAGTCGCACTCGCTATGCGTTTGGCAGCTAGGAGTAATATTTCGACCTTTTCTGAACGAAAAGCTGCAGACATACACACACACACACACTCCATATACGTGTTGTGCCCCCAACACACGCACTCCTCTCCCAAAAGCCGAAGCCAGCCTTCCCATCGCGCCATCTCACGCGTCATCCTCCACCTGCGCAGCCCTGACATGCGTTTCGCGTCGCACAGAACACCAGGGTCGAGTGCCCCTCCCGCGCCACCTCCGCCACCAACACCGCCACGCGGTCCGGGTCCTTGGAGCTGCTCTCTGGCAGCTCCCGCTCCTCGACTAGTGGCTCGACAATCGCCGCCGGCGAGCCGCCGCCGCCGCTGCCCGCTGCCGCCGCCATAGCCGCAGCGTTGATAAACACGCCGCCGGCAGCGCTGCCGGCACTATCGCTAGTCTTCGCGGCGCCGCGAGCGGCTGTGCCTGCAGCTGTGCTACTTTGCGCAACGCAGGCCGAAGACGCTGAAGAAGCCGCAGCGACGTTCTTGGGTACCAGCTTGCCTGCGGAATACGCAAGATACACAAATACGCAGGACGGTGGCTGGCTGGCATTGGTGTGGCGGCAGCGGTAGTAACAGGAGGCTAAGACATAGCGCGCGCGAGAGAGTGCAAAAAGTCCCGGAGCTTACCCTCGCCACCGCCCCCACCACCCGGCTCCGCCCGCGTTTGCCTCTGCTTTTCCAGTTCCTGCTTCTCCATCTTTTCGTGTTTCTGATCCTGCTCCTGTTGTTGTTGTTCTTGTTGCTGTTGAGCAGCCATCAAGGCGAGCTTCTTCTGTTCCATCTCACGCGGACTGAGCTTCCGAAAGACCTTTCCCTTGAATACGGCATACTCCGTGAGAGGTACGGGCCTGCGGGAGCGGGCCGGCCCCAGTTTTGCACAGAGTTGCGGAGTGATGACCTCGTGCGTGCGCGGGGGGATTGGGGCCAGCGCGGAAGCGGCCTCAGGCTTCGGGATTTGCCACACTCCGACCGTACCGTTCATTATTACCCACCCACCCGCCCACCGCCAAAACCCTCCACTAAAGCATTCTCCATCTGCATTTGTGTCTGGTCATAAATTTGTTTTTCGTCTGGTTGCCTCCTTCCTCACTGTCCTCCACTACCGCTACCACCACCACTCCGCCACAGGCACGCCCCTGCCCAAGGACCCCGCCATCAAGCATCCAGCCACTAAAGCCTCCGCCGAACCCCCATAGGATCGCCGCTGGATCTCACCTGAAGTTCGTCATGAAGAGCCGAGCCCCCAGCCAGCCGCACATATCATCAAGCCCCGACATGGTGGCCGACATGCACACCAGCTGACAGGAGAACGAGGGCAGGGGCGGCTGTGAAGGGACGGCGGATGCTGTGTTCACGTCTACACCCCTTGAAGCGGGCAGCGGGGGTGCAGCGGCTGCAGCGGCGGCGGCTGCAGCCGCGGCAGCCGCAAAGCGGAGTTTTGTGAGGCACAGCTCCAGGCAGATGCCCCTGTGGATGAGAGCCACCTCCAGGCGGGAGGGAGTCAGTGGGATTGGGAGCCGGAATGGGGAGCGTGGGTGGGAGCCGGAATAAAAAAACAAAAATAGGCATGGCCACGGGCATGTGTGCGGTGATAGCTGGCACGGTATGCAGGAGTGATCCAGCAATTCGGCGATATAGCCAGCTGTCAACCACATGCTCACGAGATCCAGAGGGTATTTAGGGCTTTATTTGAGGACTAATAAACGAGTAAAGTCCCTTAAGGGGGTTGTTGTCTGCAGGTTTACTCATCGGCGGTTTCCTTTCCTTCACTGCCCCAGCCCAGCCCAGCCCAGCCCAGCCCAGCCCAGCCCAGCCCAGCCCAGCCCAGCCCAGCCCAGCCCAGCCCAGCCCAGCCCAGCCCAGCCCAGCCCAGCCCAGCCCAGGCGTACCTGTGTGGGTCGCCGACCATGTGCGCCTCGTCCACCACCACGCACACCAGCTCCCCCAGCCGCCCCTCCGCCATCATCCGGTTCACGGTGCTGTTCGCCTTCTCCATGGTCACCACGGCAACCAGTTCGTCCTGCGTTCCATCAGGCGCCGACCCCACCCGGCGGCATCCCGGCCCCGGCATGCGTGGGGTTAAGACACACTCACACTAGGCCGACTGCACATTTCCATTGCACCATGCATGCCCTTAAATCATGCATATACGTGAAGAGGTACGCATGTAGGAATACAGGTACACGTACATCACGCATGCATGCATGCATGTGGTTGTGCATATGTGGAAATGTGTTACGTATATGTTACATGTTGTACACTGACCGTTGGCGAGCAACACGTGTTCATTCCCCCCCAACGGTTCCGTCATGTGGATGTGCAGGCTGTCGTACCATGCAGCAAGCCTGTGCCGCGCCGGGTCGCATGGCTATCCATGCAACGGAAATGCATGCATGCAGGGCATTCCATTGCACGTAGGCTTTCCCGCAGCAACTGCAACCGCAGCAGCAACCGCAACAGCCACAGCGACAACCCAGCCCCCAACACTATAGCTGCTCACCGGAGCCGACAGAGGTGCGCCCTTTTGATCTGAGTCCACGTAGCCGCGCACCTTCCCCCGTAGGGGCGCTAGGACTTGCGTCAGGTGCGCCGCCTTCTCAGACACAATGCTCACATACGGCAGAACCAGCAGAGCGCGAGGGACAACTGCTGCCGCCGCCGTCGCCTGCGCCCGCGGTCCCCTGGGCTGTTTCCGCGCCGCCGCCGCCGCCAGCAGGCGGCGGATCATGAGCACCTCCGCGACCAGGCTCTTTCCACCTGCGCACGGTTTCGACCCCCGAGACCCACCAGCATTCACGTCACGGCCACGGTGAAACACACAAACGCACACACAGGTCCAAATACAGTGCCGGTGTACACACAAAACGATACAAGCGCGTGGTGCATGGTGTGGGGTGCGTGGATCATTCATGCATGCATCGGAGAGCTCGAACCTGGATTTAAGAGAAATGTGGAACAATGGGAGTACACCACTAACCGGCAGATAGGTTTCCCTAGCGAAGCGGACGTAAGATGGGTGAGATGGGTGAAGCAGGAAGAACTAAGGGTTGGATGGCGGTACCACGAGAGCCCGCAGAGGGGAACAGCCTCACCGGAAGTAGGCGCGCAGTAGACCAGGTTGCGGCCGTCCTCGCCGCACTCCAACGCTGCTGCTTGCCTGCGCGCGAAGACGAAGACGCCACGAGCAATTGTTGCTTTACCTAAGCTCACCATCCTAAGCTCATCATCTTGACTGACTGACTGACTGACTGACTCTCTGTCTACTTACAAGCTCAGCCAAAGCACCCCGCCACAGACTGATGACCCCCACAATAAGAAAATACAACCCGAATTCCCCAGCCGACACTTGCTCTCCACGATTGGAAAGGGCAGGCTGAGTAAGCGCGGGAGGTTCCCCCCGGGGCCTAACGCCCGTATGCTCGCCCAGGGCGCGGTCATCTACTGCGCCATCGCGACCCCTACCCAAAAGGTGAGCCTCATTATGACTCTCGCGCGGGCTGCTCCTAGGGATGACGATGATGATGATGATGATGGCGATGGTGATGATGATGGTGATGGTGATGGAGATAGCGATGGTAATGGTGATGTATGCCATGCGAGCGAATATACACACACAACCACACACGCCCTGCTGCAAAACCCAGACCTCAAACTCCATCAATAGCCCACTGGCCACAGGAAGGAGAGGGGAGGACGGACGAAGAAGGAAAATGAACCCCTCAACCCAAAAGCTGACTGCGGGCGCCAGACCCACAGCGCAACGTGAGGGCGTTCCGGGGGAGTTAGGTTACTTCACGTTCCCCCGGCTAAAACCCAAACTCTAAAACGGTTTGTATTCCTTGGAAAGGACTCGTCGAGGCGCCGACGACGGCGACAGCCATCGGCGACGTGGCGCGTATCTGCTTGCTTACCATGGATACAACTTGTTCACGCCCTTGGAGGCGAAGGCCGCGACCACGCCCGCATGTTGAATCCAGTCGGACAGCGCCATGCGGAGGGGACGCTGCGATGGACAACGGGGGATGGAGGGATGTCAGTCACAGCGGTCGATATTTACAACGACGCCAAGGAAAGAACCATGAATTAAAGGCACACAATGCGTCGCCAAGCTAAGAAGCAGGGAAAATCCGCGAGCTTGTATTGTGCGATATTGCGCGATCTACACTTTGCATGGAATCAGGGGCCCGCGGCATCTAACGGGAGGAGAGACACGGATGGCACACAGCTGGGAAAGGGCCAAAAGGACAATCAAAGGCCACTTAACGTCTTCATGTGCCCCAAGACGCGTCTGAGTTTCGCACCGCCTGTGCGCCTCTGCACAACATGCGCCCCCCCCCGCGTCAAGTGCTCGTGTTGCGGGTGTACGATGCCGCCCACCACTGTAGCTGCCATACCTTGAAGTTCTCCATGGGAGGCATGGTACCGTTCGCCGCTGGCTGTGCCCCCTTCCTGCTGTCAACTCCACTGGCACTGTCGCCATACGCGGCGCTTATGCCTGCCGGAGCCAGGGCATCGGTCGCGCGTGCGTCTTGCCCTTTGGTAACAGCCCCGTGGGCCGTCTCCATGGCCACAGGGTTCGCCACCGATCCGCCAGGAGTGCCCGGCGATGCCCCGCCCTTAGAGTCTAAGGACGCACCGTCAGCAGTCACCGCCGCTGACCCCGTTGCAGCAGCGGTTGGCATGGTCGCCCATTGCAATGGACCAGGTTGGCCAAGCCCCGGCCCTGGCGCGTGCTGTTGCTGCCCCTGGCGCTGCTGCTGCTGCTGCGGCTGCTGCTGTGACACGTGTTGGTGCTGCTGTATTTGCTGTTGTTGTTGTTGTTGGTGGTGGTGGTGCTGCTGCTGTTGTTGCTGCTGCTGTTGCTGATACTGTATTTGTTGTTGTTGTTGTTGGAATATGTGGCTTTGTTGCCGTCCTGATGGTTGCAGGTTCAGTTGCGGTTGCTGATACTGCCGCTGTTGTTGCCGCTCTTGCCGCTGCTGCGTTTGGTGCTGTTGCTGTTGTTGCTGTTGTTGCTGTTGCTGTTGTTGCTGTGGCTGCTGGCGGACAGGTCGATGCCTTGGCTCCAACGGCGGAGGTTGCCATGGCCGTTGCTGCGCGGCTACGTGATTCGGTTGCTGTGGCGCCTCCTGGGGGGTTTGTTGCGGTTGCTGCTGGTGCTGCTGTTGTGGTTGCTGTCGTCGTTGTTGCTCCTGTTGGCGTCGATGATACGTGCATTGCTGCTGTTGCTGTTGTTCCTGCTGCTGTTGGTGCTGTTGGTGCTGTCGATCTTGCTGTCCATCTTGCTGTCGATCGTGCTGTTGTTGTTGCTGCTGCTGCTGCCGCCCGTGCTGATGTTGCTGGTATGCCGGATTTCGCCGTGTGGTCTGTCCGAAGGACTGGTCATGAGCCTCCACGCTCGGCGGGGGAGGGCTCCAAAAGGACCCCGACATACAGCTTGCGTCGCCGGGGAAGCCCCTGTGCCGCGTCCTATCTAAGCCATCCTGACCCAGATCGCCACCGCTGGTCGGGATTCCAACTCGTGTATGTGGCGCTGACCCAAATCGCGCGGGGGGAGGTAGCCCTCCATCGGACACCAGGAGCACGTCTGCATGCACTCGGTCGCACATCTGATGATGTAAAGTTGAGCCGGTGGTTAAGGCACCGCTGATGCCGCCGCTGGATCGTGCTGTCGGGTTATTGCTGAGGACTGGCGCTGGGGCAGCTTCAGCGTGGCTAGGAGGCTGCTGTAGTAACTGGAATATCGAAGACAGCGGATGCGCGGCTGTGATTGTGCCTGTTGTGCTGGCCACAGCTGTGGTTGGTGCCGAGGCTGTGCGCGCAGAGGGAGCGTCGAATTGGGGTTCTGTGGCGGTGGTACTGCCCAGAGCCGGTGCTGGTGGTGGGGCTGCCGTGAAGATATGATGCCGTGACTCGGGAGAGGTGACGAGGGTCGCGTGACCTGCGCGACCTGGAGGCGGGGCTGAAGCGGGTCGTGTAGGCAGGATGTCCTGTGTAAGAGTGGGCTGGGGCCCCGCGTGCTGGCCCATCTGCTGCTGATGTTGATATTGAGGGCGAGAATTGAATGGCGGTTCAAGTGGGCAAAGGATGCGATATTCAAATGAGGTTTGTGAGTTGGGTGTCTGCTGGGGCCGGTGCTGCCGCAGGTGGTGCGGTTGCTGGTGTCGATGTGCCTGCTGCAATCCGGTCTCTGCCGCTGGTCGTAGCTGGTGCGTGGAGTATTGCTGGGGCCCCTGGGGCTGATAATGATGGTGCATGACTATGCCCTGTGTATGCTGCGCCGGCGGCAGCGCGCCGATGGAGGCAATCGACGCGGGTTCCAGGTCACATGGGCGGAGCCCACGCTCACTCCCTGCCGGTACTACTTGGAAAGGTGCTTCCAAGCTGCTGCCTTCCTGCGATTGGGCCAGACGTTTGCCTGGTGCGTTGCGCAGTCGGGTGTCGCCCAGAGTAGCGAACGGGCCAAGGGATGCCGGTTGCGCCGGTACGTACGAGGAAGCGGTTACCGCGAGGTTCTCTTGATATGACATGCTGGAGGTGTCTGTGCTTCTGATCAAGCTTATGCATCCTGGCTGTTCATGCAGAAGTGGCTGTTTGCTTTGCCAGGGAGCGCATACCGAAACTGGGTTAACTGCCCGCGGGTAATCGACACCCACAATTTGTTGTTTTCTTGGCGGTGGTCCCCCATGTGTTGCCCCGCCTGAGGAGCTATTTGGATGGGAGCGCTTCATTAACCAGTGGAGGCCCCTGTTGCCTACGTTTCAGTTCTTTCCAACAGTATCGGCAATATACAGTGCCCTGGGAGCGTGCAGCACACATCTGTAAGAAAGTTTGGGAGGAGGCATAACTTAATTGTTCATGACAGCCTTTGGTTCACATAGTCTATATGCAATATGCAATGTTAGCAGCTTTGCAAAAAATATTGCTCTAGACATATCAATTAATCTTAGACACACTGAGCTGTAACCACAAACAGGAAATGGTGAGTTGCCTACTGCTAGATCCATGCTTCGGATCCTTTTTGGGCGGATATACACACACTTTTGTATAAGCCGAAATCAGCGTACCTGAATGCTACAAAGGCGTACGATGGCTCTATGGAACTCCCCATTGTCTCTCTTTTAGCCCCAATTTAGCCCACTGATGGCATGGTGGGTGACTGCCTACATCAGATGAAGTAGGCTTGGCAAGGGACGAATGACGTATTAAACGTTAACCTTCCACTCACAACCAGGTACCCTGAAGCCACAAACTCAGTAGCCGACTTGTAAACACTTCCAGCTCCGAAAGGTCAAGTCTTTCATACAAATTCTTATTTTTACGTGGGGTTTTACAGTAATCTAATAGCTCCTCTTTCTTTCTTGGCGGCGTGTATGTGGTGCCGGCACGTCCGAGCACGCAAGACCGTTGCGACAGCCATGAGGGTGCGGCCACGCGGAGGAGGCTCTCAAAGCCGTTCCATCCGGCTACTGGCATAATTATCCTTTCTTCATAGTGATAAGAAGCTGTTTCCCTTATGTTCAGGCTCTGCACACCTGGCCACGTCCTTTCTCCGCTATCCCTGCGCCATCACAAACCCTTGCTCCATCGGCCATGTCCACGCTACACCAGGCAACGTTTCTTCCTCCTCCCTCTACTCCTTCACACCGTCCTCAATCCTACCGCCAAACTCCCTCAGCCACTTCCACTTCCGCATTGAATTGCTACACCGCAAAGGCGTCACCCTCGCCACCAACGACTACTGCAGCCTGCACGACAGCGAACACGACAGCCGCGTCCTCGCCATCTCCCGCTGCCGCTGCTGCCGCTAGCACCTCGGCCTTGGCCTTCCGCTTCCGCACGGGGCGCCGCAAAATGACAGCAATAGAGCGCGCCGCTGCCACCGCACATGACGCCTTGTCTGCCGCCACTGCCGCCGCCGTTGTACGGCAGCCTAGATCCGCCGTCATCGCCGCCAGCGCTCCCCCTGGGCCCCTTGGCGCGTATCTGGGACAGCGGGTTCAGTCTCCGTCAGACAATGTCGCCGTCAACAGAGACATGGCCGCGGATTTGGACTTGGGTTTGGGGGAGATGGAGGCGGATGCGGATGCGGACGCGCAACGTGAAGCAGTGGAACAGCGGCGTCGGTTTGTGGGTGCGTGTACCTGCCGTGTGTGCGTCCTGGGGAAGGGTGGGTGGGGATCTGCTGACATTGCTTAAGCCTCATTCCTCCTCACACTCCTCCTCTTTGGTGCCAAAGGATCTGTCCAAGACCCCCTTTCCCTCTTTTGTGGTTCGTCTGTGGTTCGTTTGGGGTTCGTCTTACCCCCCTTTCCCTCTTTCTGTTCTTATTCGGTGGGAAAAAGTTCTCTCAGTCTCATTCTCATTTTCCTGGAGTGGACATGTTGAATGCTTCTCCCGGGGTTCCTTACATAGCCGTACATACACGTATATACACACACACGCACAAGTGCATGCCACACGTACAAACAGACAGACAGACATACGAGGCGCGTGCCCCCCGTGCGCCTCCCTCCTTCCCTTACTATCGCTCATATCGCATCTCCTCACCACAACCATCACTAACACTATTACTACCATCACCACCACCACCACCACCATCGGCAGTTGACATATCTCCCGCCGCCTGTGACGATCGTCCGTTATTCCTTCCACCATTCGAATCCCCTTCAAACCCCCAACACGCTCTTGCACACGAAAAAAACCCCTCCTCACGCTGCACACCAATT